GAGGAGGAGGAGGAGGAGGAGGAGGAGGGAGGAGGAGTGTTAACATGTAAGCGTTCAGGTGACTGGGGAGGGAAGGTGACCCTGTTACCTTTGGCTCAAGTGTTTAACGGCTGAAGCCACCGAGACTCGCTTCGCCGTGCGGGAGTAAAAAGGTGACCGATCGTCATCGCTGTCACTGGGCTCCCGTACAGAACCTTCCTCGGGGTTTTGCATGGTAGCGGAGCGCGGTTGCCATGGCGGCGGCAGCGGCCGCTGCAGCTAGGCCCGCGCAGGGCGACCCGCCGGTTAACCTTAATGTGCCGGCGGACAGAGATGCATGGGTCAACATGGACCCTAACCGCTTCAACGACCTGTGCGAGCAGGCGTACCTGAACGGGGACTTCAGTTACGTTCAGACAGCGTTACTTGCAAATCATTATGGACTTGCGACGTTCATTAACGAGCGAGTGACACAGGACCGAAGGGAAGTATCGAACGCTAAGGCATTTCAAATGTTACAGAGCGCTCAGAAGACCAACAGTATGTTGTTAGCGATAACGAAGAGAAACGCTGCGCTTGAAAGGGATGCTCGCAGGTTGGTAGAAAGAGTCACCGAGTTGGAGACCAACAGCGAAGCACAAGAGAAGTTAATTGAAACATTTGGTCAACTTTCGGAAGCAATCAAAGGAGGAAGCGGAAGCAAGCACGGGAGCGGTAAACCGATAAGCGAGAACAAAGCATTACAGGCGTTAAAGAACTTCAGTGGAGAAAGAGCAAAGTTCAGAGACTGGAGCGACAAGTTCTTAAACGCGCTGGCCCAAGTAAAACCGAGTTACCGACCGGCACTGAAAATGCTGAACAAGAAGTTGGATACACTCGACGGAGTTGTACCAGAGGAAGATGATGATGATATCATACGCATAATGAACGGTCGGTTAACAGCAAGCGAATACTTAAAGGCGAATCCAGCTAAACAAGCAGAGGATGACAACAAAGGAGAGCATGAGTTTACCGAGGAAGACAAAACTCAAATGGAGGAAGACTTATGGTACATCCTTAACGAAAAGCTCGAAGGTGCAGAAGCAACGGAAAATTAAAGGGACTCATGGATGGTGACGGAATTATGGCTTGGCAAAAGGTTTACAAATGGTACTCGGCTGTTACCGGAGCGACCCTTTCTTCCAAGGTGACACACGCCATGAACCCTGAGCCGCCCAAGAAAATTACCGACACCGCGACCCGACATGAGGAGTGGAGCGCGTTAGCGGAGAACCTTGAAAAGTATGGCAAGGATTACTCGCTGCCCCTCCCCTTTAAGGTTACCGCGCTCAGGGCAATAATGGTGCATGCGAATGATTGGTCTGACGAGTGGCAGCAGGCGTGCTGGCGAACGCCCGACGCACTTAACATTGACTCATTCCAGAAGCTATACTCCAAGTGTGAAGATTGGGCGCGTACAAAGAAACTCGACTCAGACACTAAGAATAAAGGTGCGATGGACATTGGAAATATTAACGAGACGAGTCAAGGGTCCGAAAATGTCTGGGATCAGACAGGATGGGTTGACGAGGACGGAAATTGGTGGCCAGAGGACGGATCTTGGAGTTACGGGTCCTGGGCTAATGAAAGCGACAGTGGAGATCATGAAGAAGTCGACGCCGTAAACAAGGGTAAAGGTAAAGGCTCAGGCCCCAAATGTTACAATTGCGGAGGCATGGGTCATTTAGCCAGGAACTGCACAAAGCCTAAACAGTTCACGAAAGGAGGCAAAGGTGGCAAAGGTGGCAAAGGTAAAGGTTACCGGGCCACTTATGGATCCTACATGAAAGGTAAAATTGGAGGCAAACAAGGCGGTAAAGGGGGCGGCTCGCGGGGTGGAAGTCACGGAGGCCAAGGAAGATTTACCCCCCACAGCGAGCGTGAGTGCTACAAGTGTGGAGCTAAAGGGCACATCGCCGTTAACTGCCCGGGCCCCAAGAAGACCGCCAACGAAGTTGAGCAAGAGAGACCAACGGTGAACGCGGAAAGTGAACAAACCCTCGTTTGGCCAACCGCAGCATGTTCTCAGCGTTGAAATGAATGATGAAGTGAACGTGCCACCGGAACAGCTCACAGCTGAGGAGATTAACGGACAATGGGCACTGCCCTCATATTCCAGAAAGAAAATGGCGCGTAAAGTCGCAGTGGACCTGAGAAAAGCCTACCAGGAGCACCAGCGTAACGGGAACTGCAATCATGTGAATCAATGGGACCAGAGGATAAGTAAAAGTATAAAACAGGAAAAGAGTTGGTTGGAGAAATGTAGAGAGATTGGGCTACTCGAGATGCGAGACTGCGATCCAGAAATTAACGCGGTGCCACCTCAGAGTACAACGCATGAAACAATCGTGGTTACCGTGGACTCTGGAGCGTACAACACGGTAGGACCTCCAAGAGTGGGCACCTACTTCCCCATTAAACAAACAGATGCGTCAAAGCAGGGAAGACACTACAGCGCAGCAAATGGGACGACGATAAAGAATTACGGGCAGCGAGTAGTCACCGGCAAGAATGAACATGGAAACTCAGTCAGCATGCCAATTCAAGTGGCGGAAGTCAACAAAGTTCTGGGATCTGTCAGAGAAATGGTAAACGCTGGGAACAGAGTTGTGTTTGACAAGGACCTTAACGGGAGATCCCTGAGTCATATCATGAATAAGGCCACAGGTAAATGCACAACCATCCACGAGAAGAACGGCACGTTTCAGTTTAACATCATGGTGCCGAAGGGACCAGTGGAGGCTGTCAATCCCAAGAGTGAAGTAAACGCAGCTGAGGGTTTTCCGCGGCCGGGAACCCTCGAGGCGGACTTGTTCTACTTAGCCCCTCATTACCCGTAAGACCAAGCGAAAACTTAAACGTCTTTAACGCCGAAGAAGGCGAAGGGAGTGAAAGTGGGGCAGCGAAAGTGAGCTGAGTGACGTAGAAGACGTGTTCGTAAGTGACGAAGCAGAGTTGCCGATGAAAGTTTACTGTGACATGAGACCATCAAGGGAGGAAGTTGAGGCGCACAATACAACGCATTTACCTTACCGAAGCTGGTGCCCACATTGCGTTAGAGGCAAAGCACGTAGGCGCAATCGCAGGAGACGTAAAAGGGACAGGAACGGAGGTGCACCAGTAATTTCAATGGATTACATGTGGCTTAGAGGGAGAAAGGAAGAAGGCGAAAGTGCCAGCAATGGCAACCCAATTCTGGTCATGCATTGCAGGGGAACCAAATTAACGTGGAGCCGAGTGTTGTTGAAGAAAGGAGTGGATTCATACTCAGTAAAAGTGGGATGCGACATGATCGGCTTTACCGGATATAAGAAGGTTATACTCAAAAGCGATGGAGAAGCGGCAATTACGGCGCTGGCCAACAGGATTAAAGCGTCGTGTGACCTCGACATGGGTGTTGAAGTCAGTCCTGTAGGCGACTCAAAGGCCAACGGTGAAATTGAGAGAGCAGTTAGAACGGTGCAAGGGCAAGTCAGGACATTAAAGAGCGCCTTGGATGCCAATTACAAGACCGAGTTCAGTGAAAGTCATACGATTATACCATGGCTGGTAAGCTATGCGTCTTCTCTGATTAACAAATTCACGATAGATACGGATGGAAAGACAGCCCATGAGAGATGCAGGGGGAGAAAGTTTAACAAGCAAATTCCTGAGTCCGGTGAATGTGTCATGTACTTAAAGACGCCTGCACACAAGGGCCGCGAAAAGCTTGAGATGAGATGGGAAAGTGGAGTGTTTTTGGGACTCAACGAGAAGAGTCAGGAGCTCATCATTGGGACACCGAACGGAGCGATCAAGGCGCACGAGTTCAAACGAAAAGGAAGTGAAGCGGAAAGATGGAATAGCAACGAGATCACCGAGATGAAGGGGTTATTTTGGCAGCCTGACCCCAGCGCGGCGGGAATGGAGTTACAGTCTAGGATTATGGTACCCATGGACTTACCAGAGCAAGAGTTAACGGCGCCTGAGACGAAGCCGCTGATTGCGCGAGGAATAGCCGTAAAGAAGCACGAATATCTAAAAATGGGACCGACGCCGGGATGTTACGGGTGTAAATGCCTAGTTAGAGGCGACAAAGAGCACAAACCACATAATGCTGATTGCAGGGCTCGCGTTATCGAGTGGTTAAAAAGACCAGAAAGCCCAAACATACAGGCAAGGTTAGCATCGGCCCAACTGAGACTCGAAGGTAAAAGCCGTGCGTCGGAAAGTCAAAATCAGGAATCAGAAAGTCAAGCGAAGAGACTGAGACCCAACGCACCACCTCCGCCGGGCGCCAAAGTTGAGGATGCAAAAGATGAGTGGGTGATAAAAGGAAACAAAGTTATATGTCAACACCGGCGACCAAGAAGAAAGTTAGCCTTTCCCACCAATGGTGGATGCCCTGTCGATTGGGATAAACTTAGACCCAGGAGATTTACCCATGCCATTCTAAACGACAGCGGTGAAATACGTGAGCATGAAGATGGTTGGTACGGCAAAGAGGGAGATGACCAAACATGGGCAATGGGAAACCCTAACGGTTATTGGACCGGGTGGACCGAGTTCGAAATTGAAGATGAAGAAATGAAGGACCCACCAAGTGAACCGATTAAACGAAAAGCAGATGGTGACCACGATGAAGAAGATCAACAGGCAACTCAGCATCGCCAACTTAACCCGGAACAAGATGAAGACATGTCAGAAGTAAACGATGTCAGACTGGGGCTCAACATGATGGGATTTAACTCTGAGCTGGTTGAGTGGTTGATGAGCGGGGAGTTGGACGTCGTGCATCAGTTAAACGAAGTAAGGAGGGCCACCAAGCTTCACGGCGCAAATCAACATGAAACTCAGGCACACGTAACCGAGGCAGATTCGCCAGTGAGGGTTGCAGGCA